TCCCACCTGCTGACAGATGCCATATTATTAGATTTTATTCATCTAATATCCTTTTATTTTCCTCAATGATGCTGCCACCAGGTTGCAGTGGCATGTGTGTGTACTTCCATTAGCACAGGGACACACAATAGTGCAGTTTAAAGAAGTGAGAAGTGTCGTCCTGCTGTTTATGTGCAGGAGGCTTGTGAAGCGAGGAAGTCCCCTCCGTGTGATTCTTGATGATTAGCTTTGTTTTTTCTGTATTGGATAGAAAGTCGCTGTAGTTTGGGCACACTGTTTGTCTTCCTGAGCTGACTTCATCTTCCCTCCTACCAAGTAGCCACGATGGAGCCGTTTAAAAAGCCAGAACTCGTACTTTTTTGCTCCGCTTGTGCATCCGTCAGCACTTCCCTCCCGTATCACTGTTTCAACATCTGTCCCACGGGCTTTGCAGAGTTTTTGATTTCCTCGTCGCTATCTTTAATCTGGCTGCTGCTTCCTGCACCCCTCGGCCTTCTGTTCTTCCACGCTAATCACCTCCCCGTCTCCTCGGGGTTGTGACGAGAGCTCGGGGTGCCTCTGTTCTAAATCTCTGATGTCGGCTTTTAGTGAATCGCTCCCTCCTCCTGCGGTCCGACCAAACTCACTTCATCACACTGTGAAACGAGAGCCCTCATCTCGCTCATCAGAAGCTGCTGCAGACCTCTCTTCATTTCCATTCATGCTTTTTTTTTGCCCCCCCCACCCTCCTCGCTGGCCTACATACAGCATCAGTATCACAGTTTTTTTTCCTCCCTCGCTCCGTCTCTTCCCATCACACCGCATTTATTTCTCGCCTCACCGTCTCCGTTTCCTCCTCCTCTTTTCTCGAATTGTGTTCATCACCTCCTTGCGCATTCCTCTCCGTCCTCCTCTTCTCCTGTAGCTCTTCATCAAACCTGACAGTCTTAGTGTTTTCCGCGCCGATGCGTCGACTATCGCAGCGGCGCTAACGGTGCTGGAAATCACTCTGCCGAGCTCCGCCGCTTCAACCTTCACGGTCTGACTTGTAAAGAGTTCTGATAAAAGGATTACCGGGACAGTCTGGACGGGTTGTTCAGAAATAATTTTAGCATACATTTTCATGAGGAACAGCTTATTTGAAGTGTAGGAGGGACGTGCGGCGCATTTGCAACCTTACAGAGGTTAAAACAAAATCAACAAAAGGCACGTAGCCAACACTGTTTATGTAACGGGAGCCGCCACTTAGTCCACTTTCACATCTCTGACCTCGCAGTTGAATTGCTTTTGAAGGATTTATTGCGGCGAGGTGCAGCTGATATCCAATAAAACCTCAGGACTCGACTTTTCCAATAACACCAGCTTCTTGTCTGTGAGATAACACGTTTGTGGGAAAAACAGTTTTGAATTCACATCGTATTTAGTCACAGTTACAGCCTGCAGACCATCTTATTATTGTAAGAGCAAAACCAGAGATTTTATTGTTTCATTTCTACATAATGTTATGAGGACAGCTCTAATGTCTGCAAAGTGATATCTTTCCTTCCTGTGTCAAAATAACGAGCAGCACTCACCCTTTCCAGTGATGCCGGTTGTTAATTCAGGTCTGCGCATTTCTGCATTGACGTCACGTAACTTTGATGAAACACATACACCACATAATGGATTTATTTTCATCTCAATAATTCAGAAGTTGCAGTCAGAAATCAGATTGCGTGTTTTGCTTGCATTGGACTCCAAGTACATTTGTTTCTAAGTCATGCAGCATCCCAACATCATGCT